GCAGTTTTTGTCATCTCACGCTGTATTTATAACAGATCTTGTGTTGATGTTAGTATTGAGAAGTACCAAGTCTGAATGGAATCGGGTGTAAATTTCGCGTTTTATGACCTTCATGGATATTTAAAATTTTTAACCCTTGGTGGAAGAGGTACCAGAAGGTACCATCTTCACAGCATATCTTGTGTTAGTAGAACTAATATTATGTTTGAAATATAAAGAGAATCGCATTCTTATTTCGGATTTTATAATCGAATTGGTTAATCAAAACTTTGACCGTTTGTGGGGAAGGTACCAGAAGGAATGGTCCGATCTCTAGAAATATTGAGATGTACCAAGTCTGAATGTAAATGTACCAAGTTAATTTCGTCTTTTATGAGCTTCACGAATATTCAAAGTATTATTATTTGTGGGTGAGGTACCTGAAGGAGTGGACCGATATATTCCATCTTCACACCAGACCTTGGGGCTAATAAAAATATTATGATGTGTGTAATTTGTAGATAATCGAACTCTTACATCACATTTTATAGGAGTTTTAATTATTCAAAAGTTTGACCCTTTTGTGGAGAGGTATTTGATGGAGTGGACCGACATTGTTTATTTACGCACCTGACCTAGCATTGATGCAAATATAAGGATTTGCAAAATTGGAACAAAAACGTATTATCCATTCTCTTTCTTTGCAGTAAACTGTTTTATTTCAAAATGTCGATCTTTTATGGGGGAGGTACCAGAAGGAGAGGACCGGTTTTGCCCATCTCCAAACTCGGTCTATGTTTAAAATATTATTAGGATGTAACAAGTTTGTACCAAGTCGGATACTCCCTTCGAGAGTTATCGTGCGCCCCAGCCATACAGACAGACGGACGTCCCAAGATCGACTCCAAATGTCCGGAAACGGAGTATGTCCAAAAAGACCTAGGGTCTAAAACCATTATTTCGATGAGGCTCATTTTGCCGTATCAAAGATATGTATAAAAATGTTGTCCAAAGAGACCAAAGAGACGGTTTGGAGTTAGGATTCATATCTTATGTATTGGAACATTATGCATCTAAGAAAAATTTTCTGCGCTTCCGTCAAACATAGATCTGAAACCCATTATAATGAGGCAAGCATATACCACTGAAATATTTAAACCTTATTATGATTCCGAAACCCGTGCCCAAAGATATTGAAACTCCTTCAGCATGCGAATTACGGATATTATGAAATATTTCAGAACACATTTTCAAATAATTTTGATAACAACTCATTATTTATTTTTCTACAGTACTGAAATCCACTGACATAGCCAAAAAATGCAAGACCAGCTTCATCATTGCATTTTTATCACCTGAAACAGACAACAACAAAAGCCTCAACCTGACTGTTGCATAATTTTCTGTTAAACTTTCGATTTCGTATGTAACCAGTTTTTATGTAAAAAAAATCAAAAATATCTGTAAGAAAAAATCAACAATGGCAATAAAGTCGTTGACCGTTAAACTTCCATGTGGTGGTCCGCCGGTCGGTTTGTCGATGCAACGACTTCAAGCCGGAGGAAGCAATTGGCATCGATTGACGCTTGATTGCATTCACATCTAGCATGCAGCTGTGATTGTTGTCTCGGCAATGATGTATGTGGTTGGAGCATATACGCCGTGTGTTCGTTCATACCTGCCTGCCAAACATAATGATTGTGTAATTACATTTTAAGACACATTATATGCTTACATTGCTGAGTGAACTCAACCATTAAAAACTTTTGGCCAACAGAACTTAGCATCGAACATTATTCGGTGGTTCTGTACTTAGTGTTTAATGCCCTTGAATGTTGTTGTTGTGTGATTTGGAACTCCGAATCTTTGCTGTGTTCAAAAAATTTTCCACCAAGAAAAAAAAAACAAGTAATATTATTTTTTTTTTGGTAAAAACAACATAACCTTACAAGAAACATGTTTTTGTTACCATTGAAGTAGTCGCGTATGAGGTTTAAGCCGGTATTGCGATTTGTACATGAACAGACATACACATGGAGTAATGTTTTTTTTTTTTTTTTTTTTTTTTTGGTATCTGTATCTTTTGAGTCTTTTTTTTTGGTAAAAAGTTTCACTTAAGCCCTCCATTGTAAACGTTAACCGAATAGTGTTAAATGAGGTTATTTCGTTGTGGTAGCTAGCTATTGACACAATTAATGTTTTTTTCTCCTTCCATTGCTACGGTTGTTGAACGTCATCATAAATCAAAGGTTATTTAATAAAACGACCTTGGGCAGCAGATACTTGTTGTAATTGCGGTAATAAATAAAATTCATTTTTTTTTTTCAGAAATGTTTATGAGCGGAACATATGGTATATGTGTTTCGAAAATAATTAAAAAGGAAGTGATATCTGAAGTTATTGAAAAGAGATTTTAGTTTAATTTCAGCAAAGGAAAATATTGTCCAATATCGACATTTTTGGGAGGAGGTGTAGTATGTATTCGAATATATGACTTAGAACCCTGAAGTGGAAGGTACCATTATATAGCCAGTAATTCATAAAAGAGGACAGTTTTCGATACCTGGCATTCCTTAATGTATATTTATAATAATTATTACATTATATCACATTAGCAAGTGCCCGCTGCTTCTTCAGCGAAAAGTCCACCTTAAAATTTTAGATTCCTTCCAATATTTAGTTTTAGGCCTTTTTAGTACTCAAAATTCACAATATGTTCAGTTTGGCAACAGTTTTCATTCTTCGTACTAAATTTTTAGACTTTCAAGGTTTTGTATTGATTATTCGAGTGCTTCCTTTTTCGGACACAATAATAGGCAAATGTCTACTTTTTATACGAAAAAGTCTCCAAAATCTTTCTTGAAGTTTACCGAGGAGGATGTTAGTAAAACCATTTCACAGTGCTCCATTTTTTTCGTCCAAAACTATTTAATTGTCTCCATATGTAAACTCTAAAAATCAACAGTGACCTAAATGTCAGATTTCGGAATGTAAGCTCTTTAATTTCCCCCATTACCAAATTTGTTACCATTTAGGCAATAATAATAATACGCATATCCAGAAGCAGTTATTCAGGAGTTCAGTTCTATCCTTTCGTCCAATATGAAATTTAGTACTTTTCGTACAAATACAGAACGCATTTCCAAACCACCACCAAATCCCGAAAACAGGTACATCAGTAATTTAAATATTAAATTTCAATATTTTATCCTATCCCTTCATCCAATGCCAAATTTAGTACTATTTAGAACTTGCGTACAATTATAGTACACATTTCCTTTTTCAAAAACGCCTTCATTCATCAATTTCAGATAGCACAGAGACCTCATCCAATACCCAATTCAGTAACACTAAGTACTTTTCGAGCAATTATAGTACACATTTCCACAACCACTTCCATATTTCAAATCCAGATATAAACCCCTAACCCCTTCACCTATTGTATTTTTCATTTGTATTTTTCATATAATTATATACCAAATGTCCAAAACTACCTCCATATCTCAATCCCGGATACCCACTGAGACCTCAATATCAAATTTTGAGGATTCTAGCCTATATAGCTTCACCCAATACCAAATTTAGTACCATATAGTAATTTTCGCACAACAGATACCATCAGTAATCTTAATATAAGATTTCAGAATTTTATCTCTATGCCATCACACAATACCAAATATAGTACCATTCAGTACTTTTCGTACAATTATAGTACACATTTCCGAAAACTCCCCCATATTTTCAGGTTACACATGAATAGCGTACTTTAAGTACTTTAAGATTCCACCCCTGTTGGTTCGCCCAAATACAAATTGTACCTAAATCAGTACATTTTAGTACAAATTTGACATTGTGGCAGAAATCTTATTTCCAATTTTCCTGAAACTAGCTCTATTGGTTCACCCATACCCAAATTTAGTACCTTTGAGAGCAAATGTACAAATTTTCATAACTGTCTACATTATACAGTTCAAGAGAAATCTTATTTCCAAATTTCAGAATTCCAATGCTATCGGTTCAACCAAAATATATCATTGAGTACACATATGTACGAATTTCCAAAAATACCTACATTCCTCAGTCCTACAATGCAATAGTAATCTTATTTTGAAATTTCAGAATTTCATCTCTGTCGGTTCACTCAAATCGTAATTGTACCAAATTTAGAGTAATTTTCGTACAAATATGTAAGGATTAATTTCAGGATTCCAGCTTCCAAATTCAAATTGTACTAAATTTAGGACCGTTCAGTACTTTTAGTTTTTGAAGTGTGCACTTTTCGAGTACATACTTTCAAAACAACCTCCTTACATCGACTCTATTCCTTAACATTGATTCCCATTCCAAATTTCAAGTTTTTAGCTCCACCCGTACACATGATACGAAATGGTACCAAATGTAGTACATTTTAGTATTTTTTGTACACTTATGGTGCAAATCCTCAAAAACTCTTTGGTACATCTGTCATGCACTCCATCGGTGACCCACTAGCCCTTCCCTTTTTATACTTATCTTTCTTACTCTTCTAGTACGAATTCCCAGCCTTATCTGACCCCTTTGGACCAACAGTGACCCTCTACCAAAATTCAGTCAATTACTTTACTCTTGTATTAATATAGAGTTCTGCGGTTGCCCACGCCTTTGGTTTCGTGTTCAGACGGGCACACTATTTCGACGTTACTCATTTCCTAGTAATGAGATAAGTAAGTTTGTTTACTTTGTAGGTTTTTGAGAACTGACTAAGTATTTTCTTCCTACTAGAAATGGGTTCTTCGACTGATACGAATCCCAAGTTTTTGCTGGGAATTTTCAAAATTTAAAATTCCAGATTATAAAATCGGATTTCTTTTCTATAAATTTCCCACTTTCAGTACCTTTTGTTTTTTACTCTGCTCCAAGTTCATTTTAAATAAAACACAATTCCAATTTTTTTTTAATGTAATTTTATTTCATTTCGCCATACAAAAAGTGTCAAGAGGTCAGAATAAAATTAAGATGTTAATTTTTTTACACAGATACCATTTGTTTTTCAGAAAATTTTATTCTTTCCAGGGTGAGGAGATGACATTTTCACTTCGAACACTTTTCAACGAAATTGATGCTAAAACAAAATTACAGTTCCTGGTTTCCGATTGTTGAAAAGATGGTCTTGTTCTTTTGGGTTTTTCATAAAAAATATACATAAATGTAAAATATATAAATGTTAATACTAGTGACTAGTAAATTAGAAACAAAAAGAAGTGCGACTTTAACAAAAGTCAAAAGCTACAGTAAAAATGTTAAGTTACTTATAAACAATAATTATTATTTTTAATAATAAAAAATTGAAAAAAAAAAGAAAATACAAAAGTTGACATAATCCTGCAACGGAATAAAAAGAAACAAAATACGTAATTAATTATTTTGTTTTGAAAACAATTTTTTTCTACTTACCTTTGTGGGTGGCACCCAAAAAAAAAAGGAAAGAGACCGCCAAAGAGCTGCTGCTGTAGATGATATGCGGTTACATGACGTCAACTGGAAAAATGCAATAAAAATACAATTTAATTAATATGTTTTTTTTTCTACTGCATAAATATTTATTATTATATATTCTTGTTGCTGTTAAAATTATTGCTGTTTATTTGTTTAAGATATATGCATGTTATTTGAAGAACATAATTTTTCTTGGCAGTGCTTCTTGTTTTATATATTTGTTTATGCCTATTTTCTTTAAAATTAGTCAACTTCTTGGCCGGCGCTATTTGTTTATTTTGGCCTTTCCTTTCTTATTGTTCTTATTTTTTTGTTAAAAATACAATCCAGCAATAAATTGTTAATATTTCATTGTGAAACATCACAACAACAAACCAATGAAAATAAAACTCGACACGTTTCAATTCTTGTGGATTATGAAAGCCCTGGGAGAAAAAATTCTGAACGTTTCTATAAAAACACTGCGCTGAAATGTTTGGAAATTTGTATAGCTATAAAGTGAATTGGTATTTTCAACAGCAGATAATCTCGAAAAAAGGTGTTGAAAAATTAAACCATTCTTTAGAGAGAAAAATCTCATTACAGGGACATTAAAGTAAAAAAGAGTAAAAAATGCAAGGAATTCAGTAGCCTCACCGCAACATCTGAAATGATCTTTGATTTTGTAAAAAAGTTGAATTATTCATTTTCGATTCGGAAGTCAAACATTTGATCTACTTATATATTTGGTTAAAAACACATATAAAAATCTAAAATCGTTATTAATCGATTTGTTAATTTTCAATTGTGCTTTCGAATTTTTAAACTTAAAATTGAGTTTCAAAATTGATCAATATGAGATTCACTGATAAAGTGAGGGATAAAGGTACTACAGGGTTTTTTTAAATTCGAACTTTTACGAAAAGTTCTAAAATGGTACTAAACTTCTGAAATGGTACCATTTAGTATTATGTGAACGGTAAGGATTTAAAACTGGAAAACTGGACGAGGATCAGTCTTGGTGCGTAGGCGTGTGATAAGGCTGGCTTTTGGGAAATCCGTACTAAAAGGGTACGAAAAGTACCAAAAGTTAAATACTTTGAATTAGACAAACGGAATGACCTAGGAATTTGGTTTTACCACAGGGTTTTTGGAAATTCGAACTCTAAGGCTATGAAAAAATCTAAAATTGTACTAATCTTCTGAAATTGTACCATTTGTGAACAGAAACGGCTTACAACTTGAAATTTCCTTTGAGAATTTTGGTTTGAAAGTAAGTTTGATACGTGAAGATGGTTTTGGAAATGCGTTCTGAGTGTGCGAACTGTACTACATGCTACTAAATTAGGAAAAGTTTGGTTTAGGGTGAACCGATTAGGAAGAAATGTTGAAATGTTGTATTGGGGTTCCAATTGGTGGTAGGTTTGTGATAAAGTGGTACTTTTGAAAATATGTTCGACAAGTGCACGAAAATTACTAAACAGTAATATATTTGGTACAATTAGGTACTTGGTGAACAGATAGTGCCTGAAATCTGAAATTTTGTCGTAGGGCCACTGTTCATATGTAGCCGGGATATATGGTGGTTGTTTCGGGAATGTGTACTCTAATTGTACGTACTAAATTGTACTATAATTGGTATTGGGTGAAGCAATAGAGATACAATTCTGAAATTTGATTTTGGTATCAGTGCTTGAGATTTGACGTTGCTTTGAAAATGAATCCTTGATATGCTCAAATTTGATATTAAAGTCAGTTTCTGTTGGTATCTGGAATTGAAAATGGAAGTGGTTTCCCAAATGGGTATTGTACGAAAAGTACTAAACAGTACTCATTTGGGTATTGGGTGAAGGGTAGAGATAAAAACTTGGAATTTGATATTTAGATTACTGATGGTATCTGTGTTTGAGATTTGAAGATGGTTTGGAAATGCGTCCCATATTTATACGAAATGTACTAAATGGTACTCAATTTGGTATCAGGTGAAGGGATAGGTCTTGAATCTTCAAATTTGATATTGAGGTCTCTGTTGGTGTCTGGAATTGAGAAATGGAAGTGAGTTTGTAAATATGTACTTTAATTGGTATTTTGTTTTTTTTGGTTGGGGGGGTGGGGGTTTGTGGTGTTAATTTATTTAATTTATTTAGATTACTGATGGTGTCTGTCCTTGAGATTTGGTATTGAGGTTTCTGTTGGTATCTGGAATTTAGATATGAAAGTGTGTTTGGAAATAGCCTAAAATTTTGGTATTGGGTAAAAGAATAGAACTGAAATCTTGTAATTTGATACAGATACCACTGTTGAGATCTAGAAGGACAGGTGCAGATTATTTGGGATATTCGTACCAAAATATACAAAATTTCATATTTTTTGGTGATGGGATAGATCTGCAATACTGAAATGTGATATTGAGGTCACTGTTGGTTTCTAAAGTAAACATGTGGAGACTTTTAAATAGTTTTGACAGCAAAAGCCGATGTGGTCCATTGTACAATGTTTTTTAGTAATATTCTAATCGGTAAACTTAAAGAAGGAAGATTGTGAACACCTTTTGGTGTAAAAGATAAACATTTTTCTAATATTCTTTCCCAAAAGAGAAAAAACTTGAATAATAAAAATATAAAACTTTGAAAATCTGAAAATTTAGTACAAGTTATGCAATTTATATTTTAAAATTATGTTATTCATTACATGGTAATGAGAAAATTAAGTTATATCGTTTTGTAATAAAAAAAGACAAATTAGTACGACAGCCGTAGTGTGTGGTTGTTCCGATTTGGGTAGAAACAATTAAAAAATCTGCTAAGCTCGGCGGGGTCGAACTTTTAATACCTTGGAAATTTTCAAAAAAAAATCCATCTAAAAATACCACCCAAACGGTAGGAACCGTTATATGTGGGCTATAAGAAGACGGAAGGACCTGCATAGACAATTTTCCGTCATAGGTTCTAGTTCCCATTACGAAATTTTAAACAATTTCGGTGAATAATGTCATCAAAATACCGAATTTCGGGAGGTATTGTAATATTGGACAGCTATACGAAAACATACGAACATACTGCAAATGCAATGATAAAATGTTTAATCGTATTATCTACTTATGTTAGAATTTTTGAAAATCCCAATTTTCAATAAAACCGTTACTGTAGCACAGTGTAAGTTGCACATATACATATATATGTTTCATTATGTTTTTCCCGGCAATCCGATGGATAAAATAACGAGCCAACGAAAATGATGGAAAAGTTGCGCACGTTTCACTCAAAAAAATTTCATATCAGCAGTTGACAAATTTTTTCTATATTTTTTTTCTCAACCCCAAAAAGATTGACGGGCAAACATAAATTCTCAATATATGTATGTATTGCTATTTAAAAAAAAACATACATGTGTAGCTTGTGGTGGGGGTGTTGGGGATTGATGTCTATTGGCACGTATGCCTCAATAGGTAGAATGGGAGAAAAAACATACATGCATACATACATGTACATATAAACGGATACGTATCCAACAATGTCATGAAAAAAGAAAACATTTCGAAATGTCTGTTCCAAATAATAAAAAGCGAAACAGAAGGTTAATGTATACCATTTAGCGGCACCGCTCAATTTCAATACACTGCGGATGGATTCAAGTGTTCTCTGGCTGGCCGCACAATTAGTTGATCTGGATAATTTGCTTTTCAGTAGTTTTTTTTTTTTTTTTTCTTAAGGAAAAGTCTTCTGCAAACTTTTTTTTTCAAATATTGCTTCAACACAAGACACAAATGTCTGGTGTATTACTTGAACACACATTCATTCATACATATATACGCATGTAGTTTTGTGGGCCTGCCGGTACATTTAATAAACATTTGTTTTACGTCAATCAAGAAAAATTATTTAAATAAATTTCATTCGGCCAGTAGCCAGTAATGTAGTTGAGTTTTTTTCAGTTTTTGGCTAAAATTTAGTTCAAGGGGCCACATATCGTTTTAAATCATTCCATTTATAATTTTAAAATTCCATTGTAATTTAAATTGTATATTTCGTAAATTATTTTTAATGAATGGCCAATACTGAGTGCTTTATTTTATGTATGTACACTAGGGTGTTGTGAAAAAATGTTTATAACAAAATTCTTGATAATACAACGAGAACACATGGGCATTTTTTATTTAACTAGAGCGAGACGTTGTCCTGATTTAAACGAACACAGTTCTGCACGATAAGGAAAACTTGGAGCTGTGGTCTAAGAGCTGTGGTCTACTTTCCCGAAATCATGTAATTTTATTCTGGCGCCCAAGTACAAAATGCAAAAATGGGTCCGGTGAACTGACTTGAAAGGATTCTAAATATCAGCAAGTTATAAGCCTCAGAATGTTTTCAATTTTACTTCGAATATTTCAAAGCACATAAAAAAGTACCGAAAGACCGTTGGTCCTCTGGACCAGCTAGATAACTAGTCCTACGCTACACTGTGTTACAGGGTATTATGTCTTTGTGCATTTGTTTGTAGCATTCAAAGGAGATGAAATGGGACCATAGTTCAATTTAATGATCTGCATATGTAAAATGACATTCCAAGTCGATTAATGCATGTCCGTCCGTCTGTCCATGTTATATTTTAAACAAAGAAGAGGTCGCATTTATTGTCGGATTGCGACGAAATATTCCACAAATCATTTATTTGGCCCAAGCACAAAACCCATTGAAATTGTTGAGAATATCTCCCATACAGGATGAGATGAAAAAACTGCAACCAACTTCAGACTGCTGTCATTTCAAAGCCACTCGTCCGACAGCTGTTAAAATTATTCCAGTGACAGCTCATTATATTGTTTACAAGCGTACAAAAGCATTTTGGTTAGAATTGTTCAGAAAAAAAGTTATTCGTGATGGAATTTAGGCGTGATAGTGTGATTTCTTTATATTTGACTGGAAACCCACAAATGGCTATCGTTAGAGCACTCCAGCATTTAAATGTGAATAAATCTTTTGTGTCTCCTACCATCGCTCTTCACCGTGATACTGGTAGCGTAGCCCGACGTCAAGGAAGTGGACTGAAGAAAACAGCAACATCAGCAGAAATTGTTCGAAAAGTAAAGAAACGACTTGATCGAAACCCGCGTCGCATTGGCCGAAAAATGGCTCGATAGCTGAACATATCGCAATATTCCATTCGGCAAATATTGAAAAATGAGCTCGGGGTAAAGCCAATGAAGTTCCAAAAACTGCAAGAATTTACACCGCAACAGAAAGAAAATAGACTCAAAAGAGCTAAAGAGTTGCTTCGCTTGGCCGAATTTGGTTTTCTCCGATGAGAAAAAATTTGTTGGCCAGCAGTTTGTAAACAAACAAAATGATCGTGTTTACTTGCCAAAGAGGTCAGCTGAAAATGTTCACCTTCGGTTGACCACCAGAACGCCTTAACACTCTCCGCTCGTATTAATCGACAGTGGCATCAGAATAAATGCCGAATATTATCGCGAAAATGTTCTGGAGGGTGTATTAAAGCCTTGGGCACGCAAACATTTTGGCCGCAAACCTTCCAACAGGACTCAGCACCATCGCACCAGCACGCGCCACCTAAGCATGGTTACAAAATGAGGTTCCTCGCTTCATTTTCAGCGCACAATGGCCATCAAAATCCACCCAAAATCTACGGATACCAATCCGTTGGATTATTGAAGTATAGTAGTATAAAGCAAGGTTGGCACTAAAAAATACCAAAGTGGCGATCACCTCAAGCAAGCGCTTCTCCGAGAATGGACCGAAATACCGCAAAGCAACATTCGGGCAGCGTGTGACGGTTTCATTGTCCGTTTGAAGGTCATAAATCGCGCCAAAGGTGAACAGTTCGAACAAATCTAAACTTATTCTAAAATTTGATGCTATTTCCGACATTTTTTGCTTTTATTCAATAAAATTTTAAAAAAATGTAAAAATTATGGCGTTTGGCTTTGTTGCATTTTTTTATCTCACCCGGTACATGTGGTGCAAAAGTAATCCTCCCATCAGAAAATGCTATAGTTTTTACGATTACGGTCAAAAAACATTGGAATGTCTGTCAAGAACATATGCATGTACAAGGTGGCGCAGAAGTAAACTTCCGATATTTTTGGCTGTAATTAAGACATTAGAGGCCAATCGTAACAATTTCCAATGGTTTTTATGACGCCAAAGTTTTCATCGAATGAAAGGAGTCGCAGCTTTACATAGCTCATAATTTCATATATTTTGGATTAGGATCTTAACGTACCCTCTGAAATACTCTACTCTGACAACTTAGCCAGTTCTGAGGCTTTTACAGAAAAGGTGTTTTGGAAAATTAAATGTTCCTTTGTTTTAACCTTTTTTGTATTGGATAAGCATTGCCACATTATTCTTATATTTAAAATGTAATTAATAACTTCACTCACCTTTTGTTATCCTTATTGAACTATGACGAAAAATAATATAAATTTATCCTTTTAGATACTAGCTGCTTAAAGTACTGCATCTTAATTTTGGAATTTCGATTTTCTTCTTAATAGAAAAGGCAACGGTTTTTAAGTACAAACGAGAATGATGGATGGGTGGGGGTCTTCATGGTGATGAGGGGGCGATGATTAGCAACGGCGACGACGACGTAAATGCCATTAATCATAACAACACAACTCGACGACGCCAGTGATAATTATGCGATGTAATCAGGATTCATATTGGGTCTTGGGATTGAATTTAGAAAACGACTTCGTAGAGGACGTACATGATGGTCAACAAGAAGGCAAGGATGAGGAAGGTGGTCATCAAGTTGTGGGCCTCACTCATTTTGATTTTGTTTTTGGGTGGGTGATTCTGCAACAAAAAATGGAAATTATTTTTATTAAAATCACTTTTATTTTCTTTTTTTTATTCATTATCGAACTAAAAATAACGTATCGCTCATTTACTTAAAATGTGGCACAACTCAAAAAATACGTATTTGAGTTAGCAATTTCGAATTTTTCTTTGAATACTATATATTTTTATTAAATATTTATGTAGAACTCAAGGACTTAAGGCGATGTTCATGGCATGGCTTATCATAAAAGGAAGTCAGAGGCGAATTTAAATCCTTCCGTCGTTTTTCCTTTTAATTTGTCAATAATATGCCATGCCCTGATGCTAAGCTGCTTATATTTCATCACTTTTACTTGGAATTGGACATAACGCAACAAAAGTAATTTGAGTTTATAATGCTCTTAAGTATTCCAAACCATGCTTGATCTTGCACAAAAATTTAGCACTGATATCAGGTGTTGTCTTTGCAAATAATTGTCTGTGTTTTGTCTGTGTTTTGTGTAATAATCTTTTTAATTCGGAAAGTCACATTTCAATCGACAACTTAAAATGCATTCTTTTTGAAACTGAAATTTTGAGGTGCGACATTATTTGAGTAAATGAGTATAAAGTTTTGTAACTGTATTTTAAAAATTAAAAATAGTATTTTTTTAAATTTAGTTTTTGTTGTTTTTTATTTGAAAATCAAATATTTTATTTTCTATAACTTTTTTGAAACATAATTTGTATTATAACTTTTTTAAATAAACTGTCTTATTTGCCCTTCTTATTTTTTATGAATTTTAGTTTTTGAATTTTTTATTTTAAATTTTTAAGCTTTTTTTAATTTTAATTTTTTTAATTGAAAAATTTTTTATTTTTTTTTTTTATCAACGCACTTTTCACAGGAAAGTATTTCTGGCTGGTTTGTTCGAAAACCCGTTCGAAGCGATTGACACGTTCAAACTGAATATTTGGGATTCGTTGGAAAATTCTTCTTCTGATGGCTGGCTGGCAGAATGGTTGGAAACACAATCAAATAAATTCCAAAATTACCAACACACCGACAACAACAACAACAACAGCAAATAAATTAAATAAAAAAAGAAAATTCTGTGTTCACATTTTAATATTCTTGAAGAAAGCAGAGAGAACAAGTTATTAAAAAAAGCATCATCGATTGTTGATGTTGTTGTTTTGTTGTTATTGTTATTTGTGGTCTGGTGTTTGTTATTGTACAAAAAATCCATACTGACAGCGAACTCCGCTGTGCATGTGTCATAGTGATGTTCAATATTCGGTTTTTTGGAAATTTATTCGTTTGCCAGAGGGGGCCATATGGAAGCTGTTTTATTTTTTGTGGGAGGCCATTAAAAGGACTTTTATTCTTTAAAATGTCAATATGGGGAGAGCAGCAGAGAGTCTTCTATCTTTTGCCTGTTCCATATCTAAAACAAGTTAAAAAGTATCAGTCGGTTTGACTTGTGTTTCGATTATTAAAACTTCCTAAGGTTCTTAAAAAAAACTTCTTAAAATTCCGAAGCAATGGGTCAATATCGTCCATTTCGTATCCGACTTGAGTCTTATATAAATATTACAATGTGGCAGATTTCTACTCACTTTATATCAGATATGTGATATGTGTTTGTGAAATGTGCTATTTTGATATTTTGGACCGAAGTATTCCAATTGATCTAGTACTGATAAATATATTAGGATATGCACAATTTATAAAAAGTCCACATGTATTTCCAATTTTATGCTAATAATTCAGAATACATCAGATCTCAGGTTGAGAGAAAAATTTATACATACGAGTTTGAAAAAATCTCTGACTTGCTTCTAAATTTAAGAGACCCTTTTTGGGGGAAGAGTCCGAAGGTGGGGGCCGATATCATCATAATCACACCAGATCTACCGTTAGTAAAAATATTGGAATGTGTGAAATTTGAAGAAAATTGGATGCTTGTTTCGCAAATGATAAGCGTTTTGTTATTAACAATTTTAACCCCATTTAGGAGGGAGGTACCGAAAGGAGTGGGCTGATATATCCCAACTTCACAGCAGATTTTGTATTTTCAAAAATATTGGAATGAGTAAAATGTGAGAAGAATCGTATGTTTCGCACCTGGCCTGTAACTGATAAAAAATATTAGAATGTGCAAAAGTTTGCACCAAATTGAATGATCCTTTCTTGTCCAATAAGGTAAATTATTTTCGGTGAAAATTTTGACGTTTTGTGGGGGAGGTACCAGAAGGAGTGGACCGATGATGCCCATCTCCGAACTCAATCTAAGTCTAATAATAATTTTACTATGTGCCAAGTTTGAACCAAATCGGATACTTCCTTCGAGAGTTATCGGACGGACGACTCCAAATATCCTGTAACGGATTTGGTGTAAAGGGACCTAGGGTCTAAAGCCGTTTTTTCGATGAGGCATGTGTTGGCCTCTCAAATGATATACACCCTCTGTAGCCATATGACTGAGGGTATAAAAAAGGGTTGTGAACACCGGCTAAGTTTAGAAGACCTGTTGAGGTTATTTAGGCTATGAAACTACGACGATGCTTGAGAAGGCGTGTAGAAAGACTGCTAAATACGGATTTTTAAAAAATATGTTATCTTTCTGAAGAATGCTTTAAATTATTTTTTAAACGACCTATCGGGGACCGTTCTTGCATAGAGAATCTGTTGACGGTCTTCTAACCATGGAAGACCAATTTGTAGGCCTTCTATCTATTGAAAACCTCTAGAACTATTTTTTGAAAACCTCCACCCATAGATAACCTAAGTAAGGTTTTCAATCCATAGAAGACATGTTGAAGGTCTCTATCCATGGAACGTAATTTATCCATAAAAGACCTGTTGAATCTATTCTATCCATAGAAGGATTTCTGAAGACCTGTTCTAGGTATGCTATTAATATAATACTCATTGAAGAGGTTCTATTCATGGAAAATTTGTAGAAGCTTCCCAACCTATAGAATGTGTCTTACATATTTTTATACAGCAGATTTTCTGCGATTTAAATGTCTTTTGTATATAGAAGAGTTGATCTACCTACAGAAAATCATAAAAAATATTCTTATTTTAAATTAATTAACCGACTAACCTCTCCATACCCATCACTAAATTTTTCCTTGCTTCAATTGCCTATTTTTCTTGTGTATTTAATTCCATGCGTATTGTTCGTCGCTCGCTCTGTCGGTCATCTTTGTATATTTTTCTTTTCGTTGTCTAGGTGGGTGCACATCAGTGGTCTATTTTTTTGTTGTTGTTCTTCATTCGTTACGAATTATTTTTTCCAAATAAAAAATACCATAATAATTTTGTTGTTCTCTAGTCGACATATATTATTCTACATATACATATACCTACATATATACACAGAAAACATACATATGTACAAGAAATGCAATATTTTTTCCAAAGCTATGAATCAAATGAACTTTTTTCTTTCTTTCGTTCATTCGAAAAGGTGTCGGGGCATTCTATATTTGTTTAATCTCTCGCTCCCTCGGAAAAAGGGGGCAAAAACAAATTAAATATAGCTTACTAAATCTAAAATTATATGGATGACTCTTTAAGGAATAGCTGTCACGTACATTTATATGTATGTATTTCCTAGAGGTATGGCACTCGTCAAAGAAAAATTTTGAAAACGAACATTTCTTCGAATGAAATATATTTCACACTTAAAAATAACATCCACAAAAAATAGCGGGAAACAATTGAAACAGTTTTTTATTCCCCAAATTAATTCTTCACAATTAGTTTTCGGCAATTAAGCTATTCAAATGATTTATTCGGTAATTTGTAGTTGAGTAAACATAATGTTGAACACTTAAATTGTTATGGCGGGCAACATTTTAGTTTTCAATGAAATAGCCATTTGTTTAATGGCCAAAACCACAAATGGTTTGCATGAGAATTTTCGTCTAGTTTCTTAATGTAGTTAACTTTATATATTTAAAATTTAATGCCAAAAACTGACAAGTTGACATTTCTACCATATCTAGTGAAATATCATTATTTGAAAATAGAGTACAGGTTTTTTTATTATTTTATTCCACCACTGTTGCCTACATATGTTTGCATATATTGTTTAATAGCTTATTTCAATATGAAAAGGAACTATAATTTTGGCAGAAAGAAAAATAAACACAAGCTTCAATTATTTTGGAGGTACGTGAAAAAGAGGAAATCCTAATTATTGTCGGTTTGAAAATATAAACAATTTTCTGAAATATTAATGGAAATAAATTATAAAAATTTTGAAAAGATTATAAAAAATATTATAAAAAATATTTATTTTTCTAATATTTGAAAAATTCCAAATCGTTAACATGACAGCAAAAAAAGGATTATTAATCATATGAAACATATCCATAAATAAATATGTCAGGGCTATATAGTTTAGTCCCTTCCACAATTTTCTGAAACTATTACTCGAATAGTAAGATCAAATATGTCTTCCAAATTAAGAGATATCTTTATAAATATCTAATTTCTGCGGTGTCACACTTAAATATTAATATGTATAAGTGGAATTATTAAAAATAATAAAGGCTAATTTTTTTAGTTATTATCTCTTTGGCAACTCTGGTTTAAACAGCTCACGTACGTAGCGTGTTTTGTTTCACTGTCAAATATCTTTAGTTTGATCTTTTATTATTTGATCTTTGAACTGTTTTTCTTTATTGTTGGTGTGTTAAAGCTTATGTCTATACAGACGAGCCCGCCTCAATTGACGCATTGGCAGGTAATATGGAAGCATTTATTCATAATATACCGGCCGAAATGTTGGAGAGAGTGTGGGAAATGTGACTAAGTGATGGACAATTCGCGGGGCAGTCGCGGCCAACATTAGCATGAAATAAACTTCAAACATTAAATTGTATGGACCGCACTATCAATTCCAATACATATTTTATGCAATATAAATTCAAATAAACGATTCCTAAAGAATTTCAGACGCTCATATGTTCAAAAAAAAAAATAAAATCAAACTAAAAAACTAAAAAAAAAAAAAAATCATAAAAATATTTTAAAATGGAATATGCCACTATATTAGTGCTATATGAAATAGTCGTCCGATATGATCCATATTTTGTACCAAGGATCTCTACCAATTATCAAAGTTCCATGCAATGTTTTGCCATGAGGTTTTGATTTACAAATTGAATACTATTAAAATTCCAGTGGAAATTCTCACACCCCAGGATGTTACACAGTGAAATTTTAAGAAAATTTGCAGCGAATTCGGAAAATTGTTTATTTTCACAAAGGGTAGGAAAACACCCTCAACCGATGGTATAATTATTACAAGCAACAACAAACCCCAGCTAATTTGCCTCTATAGTAGAATTAGTTTAAAATTTAATTTTGTGATTTGATTCGATTTCTTGCTATACAATAGGTATACACTTTTTATACCCTTAGCCATATTGCTAGAGAGGGTATATATCATTTGATACGTTCAAAACGTGCCTAATCGAAATAACGGTTTTAGACCCTAGATCTCTATGGACCAAATCCGTTTAAGAACATTTGGAGTCGATCTAGCGATGTCCGTCTGTCGGTCTGGCTGGTGCGCACGATAACTCTCGAAGAGAGTATCCGATTTGGTCCAAACTTGGTACATCGTAATATTTTTGTCAAACTTAGATCGAGTTCGGAGATGGGCAATATCGGTCCGCTCCTTCTGGTCCTTCCCCACAAAATGTCGAAATGTTCAAAAAATATATTTTTTGCACAGGTAGAGAAACGATAATCCGATTTTGCTCCAACTTTGCAAATCCTAATATTTGCGTCATTGCTAGGTCTGGTGCGAAAATGGACAATATCAGTCAACTCCTTCGGGTACCTTCCCCACAAAGGGTCAAAATTTTGAACAATTACAACTCTCATTGAATGTGATGTAAGAGTCCGATTGTCTTCAAATTTCACACATCCCAATATTTATATTAACCCAAGGTTTGGTGTTAAGATGGAAAATATATGTCGCTCCTTCTGATAGCTCCCCCACAAATGGTCGAAATTTTCAAAAAATATATTTTTTGCACAGGTAGAGAAACGATAATCCGATTTTGCTCCAACTTTGCAAATCCTAATATTTGCGTCATTGCTAGGTCTGGTGCGAAAATGGACAATATCAGTCCACTCCTTCTGGTACCTTCCCCACAAAGGGTCAAAATTTTAAATAATTACAACTCCTATAAAATGTGATGTAATAGTCCGATTGTCTTCAAATTTCAAACATCCTAATATTAATATTAACCCAAAGTCTGGTATGAAGATGGAGTATATCGGTCCACTCCTTCTGGTAGCTCCCCCACAAATGGTCGTAAAATGTGATGTAATATTTCACAATTTCACACATCCTAATATTAATATTAACCCAAGATCAGGTGTTAATATGGAATATGTCGGTCCACTCTTTCTGGTACCTCCCCACAAATATTCGAAATTTTCAACAAAAAAATTATACAGAAAAAAGCGATAATCCGATTTTGCTCCAACTTTGTAAATCCTAATATTTGCGTCAGTGCTAGGTCTGGTGCGAAAATGGAAAATATCGGTCCACTCCTTCTGGTGCCTTCCCCACAAAGGGTCAAAATTTTAAATAATTACAACTCTTATAAAATGTGATGTAAGAGTCCGATTGTCTTCAAATTTCACACATCCTAATATTAATATTAACCCAAGGTCTGGTATGAAGATGATTCACTCCTTCTGGTACCTTTCCAACAAAGGCTCAAAATTTTGAATATCCATGAAGCTCATAAAAAGCGAAATCAACATCCGACTCCATTCCAGACATGGCACATATAAATATATCAACATAATATATCTGTTATAAAGATGGTAGAGATCGGAAAATTTTTCTGCTACCTGCTCCACATAGAGTTCAAGATTTTGAAAAACAAACGGTCAAAGGAAGCGAAATAGGCATCCATCTCATTTTTGCTCATACAAGATCTCTTGTGATGATGTTATTTTTCTGCAATCCCCTTCTGGTACCTCACCCACAAAGGGACACAATTTCAATACTTTTATTTATCAGCGATTCTTTACAACTTGCTATATCTAAATATATGTCTCTCAACCAAAATCCTGAGATGAATATGGAATTTATGATTTCCCATAAATTGGATATAAGTGTTCGATTTTCTTGCATATTTATAATGATATTTATATCATATTTATTTAGGTCCGATACGAAATGGACAATATTGACCCATTCTTTCAAAACCCACTCCATAGAGAGTAAAGAGTTTGAAAATTCATAACAGAAGTCAAAATATTTTTAAATAATCGAACATTGGCTGAGGGTATACATCTGTCGACAAAACCGACCGATACTTTTTTACTTGATATAGTTTAAGAAAAGTGGATATTCATATATTTTCTATATACTCACTCTCCTCACTTTCGGCACATTCTAATACGATCCAAATAATTTTCCGATTATTAATTATTCCAATGGAAATTTCTTGCAATTTACTTGTTTAAAATCCTATTTAAACATTGTTTCAATTACTCACATTTGAATGGAAATTAATTAACAACGGTTATTTATTTATTTAGTCAACATATTTGTGGGTGATTTCCTCATCAATGCCTGGCAGTTGGTGGGGGGTGTTAATCCTCTGATTTAGAACATTGCGTAAAGCATCCACAAGACGAGCAACAAAAAGAACAAAATCAAGAAGGTGGTCATTAAATTTTGTCCCTCACTCATTTTTGGTGTTGGTGCTGAAAATAGAAAAAAAATAAAAATTATATTAGAGAAAAAATATAAATAAATAAATATAAGTTTTATGGTCATAAATTTTCCAAAAACAAATTGCTATTTTGTAGATATAGAATCCAGCAGTCACACAAGGGGGTTGTCAAGACGACTTTAGATGCTCTACATAATTTCATGGTGGTTTTCTGTAAAATATTAAGTCTGAGATGCGGTAATTTAATTGGAAGGGATGGTTTGATCGGCAGCACAAAACCAAAAAGGTGTCCCCAATATTTTGCGCTAGACTTTACAATAATCAGGTTGGATGTTGGAAATGTTATAAAATCATTTGTATTACTTCAGGAATTATTTATATCAATAAAATGTTGGTAAATTAACTCTTTTTTCTCCCTTATATGAAAAAACATGGACCTATAGGTCCCATACTCATTACCGTAATTTTTTAGAATTGTCTCTATCAAAATTTAAAATTTTTTATTTACTATCTAAATTTACACAGATAAAGGGTCAACAAAAAGTTTGGGCTGATATTTAAATCCCCTTCGTTAAAAGCTCTTCAGAACACAATACCACCACCTCCATACCCTCAATTTTTAGTGGAATGTATAACGAAGCAAATGTGGCTGTTACCCTAAAATACCTACAATCAATCTTTGGGAAGACTCAACCAAATATTGTTTCGATTATGCCAAAAATTGTTAATAGCTACATGTATCTACTCAAAATCCGAAATAATGGCAGACTACTACATATTGGCTTGGAAAGAAAAAATTACAAGAAAATCGAAATCATAATTTCCATATTAATCTCAGATTTCTGGTTGAAAGAAATATTTAGATATAGCAAGTTTGTAAATAATCGCTGACTTGATTCGCAAGCTATGACAGATAAATGTATTGAAAATTGTGACCCTTTGTGGGTGAGGTACCAGAAGGGGTTTGTAGATATACATCATCTTCACAACAGTCTTGTGTTGGCAAATGATTACTACGCGTTTTATTAGCGTTTTGTTGTTCAAAATTTTGAGCTCTTTAGGCGGAGGGCACCAGAAGAAATCGTCCGATCTGTACCATCTTTACAACACATCTTGTGTTGATGGAAATATTGAGATGTACCAAGTTTGTATGGAATCGGATGCTAATTTCGCATTTTAGGAGTTTCATGGATATTCAAAAATTGTACCCTTTGTGGGGAAGGTACCAGAAGGAGTGGGCCGAAATAACTCATCTTCACAGCAGATGTTTTGATAGTAGAAGTATTGAGATGTGTGAAGTTTGAAGAGAATCAGATGCTTTTTTTCTCGTTTTACGTTCTTTATGGCTATTCCAAATTCTGACCCTTTGTGGGGAAGGTACCAGGCAGAGGACCGATATATCCCATCTTCAAAGCAGATCTGATGCTAGTATAAATAAAAAGATGTGTGAAATATGAAGAGTACCGGATGCTTATTTCGGATTTTGTAATCGTTTAGGTCATTCAAAAGTTTGATCCTTTGTGGGGGAGGTAATAGAAGCAAGGCCCCGATCTCTACCATCTTAACAAAAGATGTTGTGTTGATGGAAATATAAAGATATGCCAAATCTGAATAGAATCGGATACTTATTTCGTGTTTTTAAGCCTCATGACTATTCAAAATGTTTACCCTTTGTGGGGGAGGTACCAGAAGGAGTGGACCGATATATTCCATCTTCACACCAAACCTTGGGTTAATAAAAATATTGTCATGTGTGTAATATGAAGACAATCGGACTCTTACATCACATTTTATAAGAGTTGAAAAATATTCAAAATGTTGACCCTTTGTGGGGGAGGTACTTGATGGATTGGACAGATATTATCAATTTTAGCACCTGACCTAGCTTTGATGCAAATATTAGGATTTGCGCACCAGCCAGATGGACGGACGGACATCGCTAGATCGACTCCAAATGTCCTGAAACGGATTTGGACCAAAGAGACTTAGGATCTATAACCGTTCTTTCGATGAGGCACGTTTTGGCCCTATCAAATGATATATACCCTCTCTAGTCATATGACTGAGGGTATAAAAACACATCTACGAAAAAGGTCTCAAGCCTGAGTAGGATATCTATTTTGCTAGTGTTTCATTCATAATACGCACGAACTTCTAAATCAGCCTCATCTTTGGTAGAAGAAATTGGATACGTTTTTGCAAATTTCGTTTCAATCTCTAATTATGAAACCAATCTGCACGGAATAGAAGAAGCTTGTGTATCTTAAAGATCAACATGGAGTTGGCGATAAAATCTAAAATATAATCCGAAGCATGAAGCATGAAGACAATTTTAATATAGTCGGACTATCACCACCATTCTTAAAATATAAAAATTTAATAACAAAATTTAATTGAAATTGTATAACATTTTGAAAAAACACTAACTGATAATGCCCCCAACGTGAGGTAGGGTACAAATATTCTCTGCCAATTTCTGAACCGCCACCGTAAATGCTTCGAATATTTCGAAAATCAAATTCTCGATGGAATTACTTAAATTAAGTTATGATTTTTCCAAGCATTGGACCAAAACAAAAACAAAACATTAAAGCACAACAAATTAAAATTTTTGATTGGCGGCCGGCCAAATTCTTTTTTAATAATCTCATAAAAATTGTAGAATTCAGTCATTTTGATTTGTCGCTGATTTCCAAATAGCTCGGTGTGAATTTTGCGGCACATATTTCGGTTTTTTTATTCATTTTCGTTATGCCCTTGATTTCGCAGAACACTTCTTAACTATTTCGTTTCGCTTGCAGGGACATAAATCACAGCACAAAATCCAATAATCCTTCTAAAATCGGAATATAACGAACCTTTTTTTTCGTTTGGTTTCTTTTAAATTCACAAAAATTTACTTTTTGGCTATTAACTGCAGCAAGTATTGGACTTAACTGAGTATTTCAATATTTAGCAATTTGAAAATAAGTCCAAAAATAAAAATTAAACAAAGATCTCTTCATTTTCCATAGTTCTTTTTCGAAAAATTGCAAAACGAAAATCACTCAAAATACATATTTACATAAGTATATACTAATATATGTGTGTAGAGGTGTGTGTGTGCCAACGGATATATGTATGTATGTATGTACATAGATTATTTGGGAAAGTGGTGACAAACATGTGTTAATCCATCCGTCTATCTATCCATTGCTTCCAAACATCAACAAGAAAAACACATTAAAGGAGGACCACCCTCACACGCATCCATCGGCCACTACTTCGAAATGTTCTCTTTAAATGAAATAGACACGATAATTCTCCTTAGTCCAAAACCATGATGTTTGTTGTGACATATTTTCTAATCATACAGTCGTGCGCAATTGAAAAGCAGATCAACACAAATTTAGTTACACATTAAAATTTTCAATTGGTTCCGAAAGTTCATGTAAAGCCTATTATACCCACAGAGTGGTTTTTTAAAGAATATTTTTTCAAGGACCAACAGACCAATTAACGCGGATTTTTAAAGAATAGTTTTTCAAGGACCAACAGAGCATTAAGCGAGGATTTTAAAGAATATTTTTTAAATGACCAACAGACCACTTAACATGGATTTTTAAAGAATATTTTTCAAGGATCAACAGACCATTAAGCTAGGATTTTTAAAGAATATCTTTTTAAATGACCAAGAGACCAATTAACTTGAAGTTTGAAGTTCGTAATGGATACTACAGCTCATAATAAAAAATTGCCTATACAAGTCCACGTCTTCGTATAGCCCGCATATAACGGTACCTCCCTATATTCGGTATTTTGATGAATTTAGCGGTATTATATACCGGAATCCTTTTAAATTTCGTATTCGTATGTTCGGAATCGGTACTATAACAAAACATTACTTATGAAAGACCACTTCTTCGCATAGCCCCAAATTATGGGGGTTTCATTGGGAGGTATTTTTTACGGATTTTTTTTTTTTTTTTTGAAAATTTTAAAAGTTTGTTATTTTCGTTCAGTCCAGTACAGTCATTTTCAAAACAATCTCTACACGGTGAGATAAAAAACTGCAACAAAGTCAAACGCCATTATTTTTACATTTTTTTTTTTTTTTAATTTTATTGAATGAAAGCAAAAAATGTCGGAAATAGCATCAAATTTAAGAATAAGTTTAGATTTGTTCGAATTGTTCACCTTTGGTACGAATTATGGCCTTCAAACGGCCAATTAAACCGTCACACCGAATGTTGCTCTGCGGTATTTTGGCCCATTCCCGGCGAAGCGCTTGCTTGAGGTGATCGACACTTTGGTGTATTTTAGTGCCAACATTGCTTTCCAAAATACTCTAGATACAATAGTCCAACAGATTGGTATCCGGAGATTCTGGTGGCCATTGTGCACTGGAAATGAAGCGAGGAACCTGATTTTGTTGGAATGGTTGTTGGAATGTCCAAGGTCTGTGGCCAAAATGCTTGCGTGCACAATGCTTTAATACGCCCTCCAAAATATATCGCTATACTATGCGGCATTTATTCTGATGCCGCGGTCGATTAATACAAGCGGAGAGCGACCATCAGCTTTTATGGCGGCCCACTCCATCACCATGGCCGGCGCTTGAGTTCTGGTGGCCAACCGAACGTGCACATTTTCAGCTGACCTCTTTGACGATCATTTTGTTTGTGTACAAACTGCTGGACAACGAATGTTTTCTTATCGGAGACGGAGAAAACCAAATTCGGCAGTTCAGCACTTTCGGCCAAGCGAAGCAACTCTTTAGCTCTTTGAGTCTATTTTCTTCATGTTGCGGTGTAAGTTCTTGCACTTTTTGGAATTTCAATGGATTTACCCCGACCTCATTTTTTAAAATTTTGCCGAATGGAATATTGCGATATGTTCAGCTCACGCGTCATTTTTCGGCCACTGCGACGCGTGTTTCGATCAAGTCGCTTCTTTACTTTTCGAACCATTTCTGCTGATGTTGATGTTTTCTTCCGTCCACTTCCTTGACGTCGAGCCACGCTACCAGTATCACGGTAACGATCGATAGGTACGAGACACAAAAGATTTATTCACATTTAAATGATGGAGTTCTCTAACCACTTGTGGTTTTCCAGCCAAATATAAAGAAATCACACTATCACGCTTGAATTCAATCGCGAATAATTTTTTTTCTTGAAAATTCTCACCAAAATGCTTTTGTACGCTTGTAAGCAATATAATGATCTGACACTGGAATAATTTTAACAGCTGTCGGACGAGTGGCTTGGAAATGACAGCAGTATGAAGTTGATTGCAGTATTTTCATCTTATCCTGTATTGAATCAATGAAGCAATGGAATAGACTTTCTTATTATATGTATTTGTATTCAACGTTTCTGTCAAAAACTCTAGGTTCACGTTCATGATCAACACAAACTTCCTAAACTTAATTTTTATACCATATGTCAAGATTTTAGCTGTATCCGATAACAAAATACCAAAAGGTACGTAATTTGGTTATTTTTGTACTTTAAGTACCCTTCTAGTAAGAATTTTCCTGAACCCAGCCTTATCTCACCCCTACCCCCCAACATACCAATTTGCAAGTACTCGATTTCTGTATCAATTTTTCAGCAAATTAAAAAAAAATCTTAATTATTAGTGCTATTTAAATAACCATGGATGTAAGGACTTATGTATGTACGATCTCATAGATATCATTATGTATTATAAATGTTCTCACTAAATCTTATTTATTTCAGAAAACACACACAAAAAACAAATCAACTTGATTTATTACCTTTTATATTTCAACAAATATTTTTTTAATGAAAACAAAACCATAGCTGGCGTTAGATGTGTACATGTGTATGTGAATTTATACCCACAAAACTATTTAGCATGGCGATATCCTTTGGGGGCACCAAATTCAAGTCTTTTGAAACAGCTGTAAACATCCTTTATGAGACTTGCTTAGGATATTTCCTTGAGGGGCCAAATGTTGTCTAAGGATAGAAGGAGATCATTTTCCACCGACTTATATTTATTCAGAATTCCCACCTATAAAATTTTTATATTGTGTCCCAAACAACACCTATTCTAGTGGATCCAAGCAGTAAGACATCTTCCCATGACAGCCTAATACCCATGTTATGGCTCATTTGTTGTTGTCGTCCAAATTTTGGATGGCATTAAATTGACGTCGTCGAAAAAAAAAAACGAAAGAAAGTCTCAAACTGGTCATCTCCAATATGAAATGCAAATGGCCGGCAAGAAAACCCATTGACACAGACGACGCCAAATTATTCGCTGACAGATGTTGCGTTTCTAGGATTGAAAGATGGATAACGGCGTTCGTCGCGGAGGGTGATCAACTCAACTCGTCAATTCACGCCAATACTCAAGTGAAATATACGCTAAATGAAATTTCAAAACAAAATTTAGAGCAGTTTTTTTTCGGTTTGTTGTTGTTGTTGTTGTTTTCAATCATAAAACGCAATTAACCTATTGGCGGTTATTGCATATTTTTTTTATAAATAAAATGAAGAAGACAATGAATTGGTTTCTTTTTAATTTTTGGTTTTTGGAAAACAGACCGGCAAACATACATTGGGAATAAACAACGGCAATTAAGGCGTAATTGGAAGAAAAGAAACTGAATGTTTTCAATTTTTTTCTTAGTTTGTGGTGATGTATATGTTTTGTATCAATGGGCTGGTATTATTTTTAGGGGTCGAAAAACATATGGTAGTGGAAGGAATTAGTTGAAATGTTGCCTTCAAATAAAAATAATTATATCCATTGGAATGTTGTGAAGTCTCCCTAACACATTGGAGAGAGCTTTAGAGAAAGAATACTAGGATTTCCTTTTTTTTAATTTTGGGAAAATATACGAATATTCCATTCCTGGATGATTGGATTAATACAGGGTGAGATGAAAAAACTGCATCCAACTTCAGACTGCTGTCATTTCAAAGCCGATCGTCCGACAGCTGTTAAAATTATTTCAGTCACAGCTCATTATATTGTTTATAAGCGTACAAAAGCATTTTGGTGAGTATTTTACAGAAAAACAAGTAAAAAAGCAGCTAAGTTCGGCCGGGCCGAACTTTTAATACTCTCCATCATTTCGAAGGAACTTGAAAAAATTCCGAAAACTACCACTTAAATGAAAGTGCATTAGGTTTTAGGGTTGTCATGCTAGGTGTAATATAGTCAAATATATGGGGGTAATTAGAAGACGTTGGCCTGCATACAAACATTTTTGTCATAGGCTGTAGTGCCCATTACGAACTTCAAATACGAAATTCGAAACAATTCCGGTAAATAATGTCGCTGAAATCATGAAAATACCGAATATCGGGAGGTACCATTATATGAGGGCTATACGAAGACGTCGGCCAGCATACGAATTTTTTTTCCATAGGTTATAGTACCCATTGGGATCTTCCAGTAAGAAATTTGAAACGATTCCGGTGAATAAAGTTGCTGAAATCGTCAAAATATCGAATATCGGGAGGTACCGTTATATGGAGGCTATACGAAGACGTTGGCCTGCATACAAAAATGGTTGTCATAGGCTGTAGTACCCATTACGAACTTTAAATACGAAATTCGAAAAAAACCGCTAAAATCGCGAAAATATCGAAAATTGGGAGGTACCGTTGTATGGGGGCTATATGAAAACGTGGACCTACATGGCCCACTTACGAACTTAACCTGCCAACTGGCAAAATAAACATGTCTGCGAAATTTTAGCCTTCTATCTCGATTCGTTCGAAAGATAGCGTGATTACAACAGATAGACAGACGGACGGAAATCGCTAAATCGAAATAGAATTTTACGCTGATCAAGAATATATATACTTTATTGGGTCTTACATGAGTATTTCGAAGAGTTACAAACGGAATG